ACTCGAAACCCATTACAGTACCCATGGACATGAAGGAAAGAGTTCCATATATACAGAAAACACTACACTAACAGCAATCAGAAAAGGATAACGTCCTAAAAAGTGAATCGAAATTTCTGATGCATTTCTACATGGAAATTTATAGAAAACACTGTGTGACTAGGCCTATATTCCGACAAGTCTCGTACTAGCCTGGACCCGTAAGTAAAGTTTAAACTGGGCCCGACAGGATACACCGGTATATGTCGGGCCCAGTTGACGGCCCTACCTCCGTACCACCACTCGCCAGGTTTGTGCACAGCCACGAGGCCAGGGGCATCAAGTGTTGTCCGTAGGATGGAACTCTTTCCACACTGATAATAAGAAAAGATTGATTAGAAAAGCTTACTCAGTCATTCTTGTCACAAACAACTTTCTTCTGAAAAGTTTTCACCAGAACTCGCGGAGTTTGCAATTCGGAGTGTAACCTATGTAGTGAAGCTACATATATAATGTGTACATGTATAATGTACATGTACACGACTTCCTGGTGTCATGTCTGTGATGGAGAACTTAACGTTCAATGGTCTATGGAGAGCGAAACTGACAAAACGTCCTACTGATTATTAAATAATGCTGAGCGTCCTTCACGTATCACGCGCACAGACGTACCCGTCCCTAGGTGTACAAACCAGGGAAAGTGCTGCATGTTGCGTACTTACCTTTGTATTCATGCTTTCATTAATATTGCAAACAAACTAACAAAAAAACGGTTGCAGAAAAACAGCCTCAAAGCGTCCAAATTTGCCCCCTCTTTGGGGACATTCTCTCTTTGGAGAAAATTGGAAGCACCGTGGCAGAGAAATGTGTGTCATGTAGGAGCAGTTTTTCCCCAATAGAAAATATAGAAAACAAGTTCTTGGGCAAAACTGGCTCCTCACCATGCAGCTTTTTTAGAGAAAACCTGATAAACCATGACAGTTCACAAGCAAAATTGTATGCATCTATGCTTTCTCTGACTGAGCTCTGTTGTGTTCGTTATAACTACAAAACTGAATAGGCTGGTTTCCTGTTATGACTGATCTATCAAAGATATCAGAATCTTTCGATTTTGGAACCAGACCACTCGGTTCAGCCTGCTGACGTACTTGTGTCAGAGTTCCATGGAACCAACTAGTAAAGGATGACTGGAGTCAGTCCAAGACAAAAATTGCAACATACTAAGTTTATCTCCACTCGCAGAGCACTGGAAATAAAAATAAGTCTGTTGACGCAACTTTCCTCTTGCTGTATTACTTTTGTAAAACATATCCAGTGGCATATGTGCCAGAAATTGGGAGAGGGAGTGGGGGATGGAGTTTTATGGATTTTTTAGAGGGGATGTCTCGCTCGGCCTTGCGGAAATTTGAAATGGGGGGAGAGCCGACCCCATATGACACTGTAAGGGACGATGATCATGATACAGATAGAAATCTGTAATATTTATTACATTTATGCAGAATCTTACATAAGAATGGCATATGTTTGTTTGTTTTTTCATTGTTTTCCCTTTTTGAGCGATATTGAAACATTTCAATCGTTGGGAAGTCCACAGAAAATCTTCAGAATCCGCTTTAAGGCTTTTGCTTACCACAGTGGGGGAACGATTCAATAGCCCCCCCCCCCAAAAAAAGGGGGGTATATTCCTCCATTGCCCCGGGATTTACACCCGTGCATAATAAAATTAAGGCAGCAAGCGACCGCGAGGCCAATCCGCCTCGAGCAGAAGCACCCCGACCCCCTCGGTTGAAAACAGCCATATTGCAGTGCGGGTCGGTGTTGTTCATTTTTGTTCGTTCACTCGTCACCCAGCGCCCAAACTTGGCGCTGGGAAGGACTGGTGGCCTTACGTGTACACAGATTTTATATTAGTGAAGGAATACGCCACACGTTGTCACAGCTAACGACGAGCCGGAGAGCATTCAGTGAACAGCGGCCGAGTATATGCTTGTCTTAAAGAATGCGTAACAGCATGACTCCTGTGGACTGCAAATTCTGAATGTTAAATTTCTCAATTACCATACATTTAGGTGATTTTCCATCGAGCTCAGAATTTAAAAAGAGCTGATCCTAAAACTACGTGTAATGCATTCTAAAGTCGTTCCGAACAGTGGCGTAGCTAGGATTTTACTGGGGGGGCACAAAGGGGCACCAGCATCTTATGGGGACACCAACTTTCAGTGGTGTGTTTTTTGGGGGAAAGTTTTTGTTAGCCTTGTTTAATATCCATTCCTCCGTTTTTTTTCAGTGGGGGGGGGGCACCTGGGGGGCACAGGGATTGGGGGGGCACGTGCTCCCAGCCCCCCCCCCGCTACGCCACACGTACCGAACAACTGAAACTCTCAATCCTCAAGTTTGACATCCTCAGTGCGAGTAGCTGTTACGTTGTGCTTTATTTATTACATGTACGTCGCACTTTTAATATGTATAGTCTATCTTCTTTTTTCCAGAAAGAAAAAAAAGATTAAAAGTCCAAGAGATTCAAAAGCCCTGTACATACATGTATACATTATATTTACTTCAGTTAACATTTTCGTTGCATATCATTATATTATTGTTTCCTGACGTAACTTAGCGTTCTTTATCGTTTTATAAGCTTGTTTTACACCATAGACTTAAATAAGATCACTAAAAAACTTTCCTGTTTGCGAACTATAATTTTGCTACTTTGCGCCCACAGTAGAATTTGCAGAGCTAAAGCCGCATGCGCGGTAAACTAGGTGATTCAAAATGGCGGACATAAACAGGACGAACTCTCCCATGAACTTGTATCGAGAAGATGTTTTAGACACCAAAGAAGAGCTTGACAAAGCAAGAGAAAAATTAATCGGAGAGCAGAAAAAGACAGCGCGTATCCTTAAATCTATGTGAAGTGAATATGTTTGATAGTATGAGATATCTTAGAAGAGTTAAAGCACAACGGCTACAGACATGGTTATCTCCGATTGTTTAAGTAGTTTCGTGAAAAAAATTAGGGATGACAGAAACCTAAATTAAACTAGGATTACCATGGTTGCCCGTAGGCTAGGCCTAGGCCTATATATGGAACTCCTTCCTTTCAGAACACGGTGTCAGTAAATCTGTTCAATTTTGGACTGTTGGACTTGGAGAACTTAGAGTTAGGCCTAGCCCTGGCCTAGTTCTAACAATCCCCTCCTTCCTCCATGTAACCTTTAATAGTCTACTTTCAGAATTAGGCCTACTCCGTCATACTCTGTGTATGATGGAGTAGTGACTTGAAGTTACCTTAGTCAGACCTGATTACATGTAGAAATTCTACCCATTTACTGTGAGAAGTGGTCTTTTGGTTCCATACTGTCAGACTGTACTTAAGGATTGGCACAACCATTGCCATGATTGCCCGACATAGGAAACCCACATCTATGAGATGAAATTTGGACCTGAAACATGTGTTCGCACGGTTACTCCCGTTACCACAAGTAGGATGCGTGCGCATTACACTCGGGTACAGGAGTATAATCCCCCTTAAGTGAGAGTATACTCTTGCTAACCCTCGGGTTGTACTCCAGCTGATGAGCACTCAGGAGTATACTCATTTTAAGGCGAGTAGCTTGCTCAAACACACCCACTAGTACAGGTGCATGAACATGTACCGGTACTTGATCTACACAATAGTATAATTTCCGATGTCACTTCCCTTTTAATAGCCAGAACCACAGATCATAAAAAGTAAAGTGAAATATACTGCAATTTAACTTGGAATTCGATTGGAAATTTTGAAGGAGGAAAGAATTTTATGTGATAATGTATACCTACGGACACCGCTAAGTTTTCCCTGACCTGTTCGTCATCTTAAAGCAATAAAATGTCCTAAAAAGTCAAATTTAGCAGTGAAAGTAATGCGGTGTTCACTTTGAAAATTCCAAAAATTTCATAAACCAGTCTCATACATGTACATGTACAGTAGGCCTGCATGTAGTATTTGTACAGTCTACAGAGGGTGTCAAGGAGTGTCCGTATCTGGCATGTCTGAAATACTTTTCTTCTAGGAAGTGCTTTGAGTCATACTCGCTCTCTACTGCTACACGCTTGCTCACTCAGTAATTCAGTTCAGTGCTGGCTATACATTTAAATTTAAAAAGAAGAAGGCGTGACCGGATCTCAGCAAAATATAAAGTATTCATTTTGATACCATTTTCTTAAATTAATTAAAATGGGCGAAACTTTATCTAAACTGAGTTGTCTAAACCAAAAGTAAAAGACTTTTTTCCAAAATACAGCAAAGGAATGCTTTGTCTTTCCTGAGTGTAATGTACGGCACAGCGTTCCTGGTGGGCAGCATTGAAAGAGTTAACGAGAGGATAGCAACCTTGGACAGGGAGCTGCAGGGTTTCTCTGAACTGTTGATTGAGAGTAAGGCCACCAATGTTCCTGATGATGTCCTGCCAATGTCACCAAGATTTCAGAAGGGTCCCCAGAAAGGTAATCATCTATGTAGGCTTGCATTCAGAAAGTCTGACAAATTCCATAAATTGTAAAAAAAAGTAACTTCCCCAAATAAAAAAAACAGAAGTCAATCCAACAAACCCAAAGCTCTAGATATTTTGAAAAGTACACGTGGCCAGAGTCGTGGGAAAAAATTGAGAGTAATAATTGTCAATTTGATATACAGGCAACGATTGAAAGGATCCTCATCCCTATAAATATTGATAGATTTGACACTTGAAGGTTGTAATAAATGTTTTTATTCATTATAAAAAGTTTCTGTGATGATTAAACTGAATAAGTAATATCACTTCTCCCGTGATGTTCAGATTAAAACCAATATAAAGTACACTTACCAATACATGTACATTGGATAATATACGGAAAAACTGAGTCATTAAAAACCAAAGGAAAAACTTAACTCTTTTGGCCTAAAAATTGAAAATATGAAATGCTTTAATAAATACATTTTTTGAATACATGCATGGTATCATACTCTTCGAACTTGTTCCGAATTTGACAATATTGCTTGATGCCAAGATCAGTTTATGATACTTGTATGAACATACTGCTGTTTGTTTTCTGGGCCTAATTTGCTTTTGCTTCTTATTTGTGATGTTTCGTTAACGTCTTACTCTTCCAAGCGTTGCGCCTTTTATTTGAAACAAACTGTGCTTTCCATTCCTTGCCTCTTCCTGCAGTTTCTCGTAAGTTGCTTGCAAATGAATCCTCTGCCACCTCTCTAGCTTTTTGTGATGTGCGCTGACAGGCACACTGTGGTAACACAGCTTTTGAGTGTGCAGTGATTTTTTTCCTCATTGCTTTTTTTTTTCTGCCGAAGGGGGCATCACCATTAGTTGATTGTCTTGGAGGGAGCTGGGTTTCTAACAATTTGTCCAGTGACCCGCACATGAAAGTTCCCCGCTGTGAGCCGGATACATTGTGCTTGGAATGTTTCATTCACAAGCATTATTACTGTACTGGTAGCTTCAGGCTTTCATGCCATTCACTTTAAATACGCTGTGCATGTTCCTGTCTTTGAAAAAAAGAGATTTGGAGTACCACAGGTGTTTTCATAACGTTCGAAATTTATTCAAAGGCAAGTTGGACTTGTCTTTAGAAAAGCTGCTGTCTGCATTGCCCTTGTTATGGCCTTGTCAAGTGATAATCTCTTCAAAGAAAACTTGAGTACCGTTCAAATCCATAAAATCTGCCACCAACGATATGTTGAGCCCCCTCCCAAATCACTTGGTGATACCTTCCTTCACCTCAGTAGATCTAGAGAAGTCATCCAGTGAAGTCATTGTATAAACATTCCTTGTTCACCCACATTCTTGGAGAGTTTAGACACTGTCAACCTTGTAAAGTACTGCCTCTTTCAAGCTTTAGTTGGGCGTGCACATCTTAATGTGAATTTGTCCATTTCTAAGCTTTGTATAAACCACATTCAGTGTACATTGTTGTGTAGTTTTATGTAACAGAAAGTCAGAAATTATGTACACAAGCAAATATCAAGTTTCAAAAGTCAGCTCAATAATGAGAATTGTCTTTGCACAAGCTTCAAATAACATTTGTACAATTTAATTACTTAGATGTACGTACATGTACATGTACCTACATGTACCAGTACATACCTGTAAGTTACTTCACATTCATGCCACACTGTGGCTATACAAATCTTCATTATTCTGTCATTTTCAATACACATTTCTTTTTCCAGTACATGTAGGGTAGATTTGTTTATTTGGTATTGTACACTAATTTTTATTCACTGACAGCCAGCCATAAAAATGTATTTCCAATACTAGTTGTTTTCATCTGCATGTACAGCACATGTACATTACCAGTGTGTTTGTCATGAAAGAGACTGTAAAAACAGGAGAATTACCAGTAGGACTGTACAGAAACCTGTTTGTTTTGTGCATTTTCCCTACATTTTGCATATTCCCTCTCCATAATTCTTTTTTTTTTCCTTCTTCTCTGAATCTCTTTTTTTCTGCCCTTGTTTAGTCGGTCACCATAACATACGTGTACATGTACCTCATGTAAAATATCTCATGTATTGATAGGAATTAATAATGACCATATACTGAGCTTGTGGCAAATTAAAGATTTTGAATGGAAAGATTTGATGGCCTGTTACGTATAAGGGATCAGCTTGCCAACAAAAATTGCAAAACTGTTTGCCGTGATACCTGTAGATGTGATAATTTATATCAAACTCCTATTTTTGTGTGATTTCCTGCAGTGCGCTTTCAGTAGAAAAAAAGTTTTACTTTTTCTTGAATGCTCAGGGAATTTTTTCAATACAGTCTGCATGGTCTGAAAAACCTGCGCGTTGTGGTGGTGTATGAATGAACAAAGGTGCAGAAAACATACATGTACATTGGTTGTTTTGGCTTCACACAACAGTTTCCGCAATGCTGGTAGCTCTGTGGTAGACTAGAGAATAGTTTTTTTTTTTTTCAATTATCGACATCATCACCATTACACACTGCAAAGGGTCCATGGTGCATACACAGTACTTACAGCACCGGTACACCATGGTGCATAGATACCCATACATGTGCGTGTGTACTGGTTGTTGATTTAGCTCACCAAACTGATTAAAACCTGATTTTAGAGGCACTTTCATCATCTACTTGATGGAGACGGTGCATCGGGTTTTACAATTGCTGGCATACAGTACCTGTACAAGTGGCCGCATATTTTCATTTTCATAGAAAAACCATTTTTCACTGCCTACAGTTTTGTAGCTTTTGATGTTGGTTGTATATTCTACATACATGTACATATACTCCTAGGTTGGTCATAGAATGCTTCCATTAGTTTGCTGTGTAGTCACACATAGTGTACTTGTTCATACACTTTCTACATTTGAGCCTGAAGTTTGACAAAGAAATTCAAAGGACCTTGGTACACTGAAGCAGACTGTGCAGTCTTGGGCATATGTATGGATCAACTTCAGATCAGCATGTTGTTTTTTTTTTTTCAAATTTTTACCAAGTAGTCCTTTGGTGTTCATGTGTCAAGGAAACGTTGCAAGTTTTGGAGACCTCAACTTTGAGCTGGACCTTGAAGTAATGAAGCTGAATCCTATTTGTCACAGGCACAAAGATAACATTAGTAGCAACACGCAGTTGTACATGTAGTTAACGATAGTGCATATATGTATTGCTGTGCGTAATTAACTAACATGCATTCATCTACGCGTTTGCTGTGACTAACAACCACCTCTACTGATTGGTCAAAGTTTTGGTAGATTAATCCATTTTTTTGTTCAAACATCTACCCTGGACAGCATCGGATGTGAAAGAACTGAATCAATTTGCTGGCGTGTACGCTGCTAAATCGAGTAAGAACTATTGGAACTAAATCCCCTTTTACCGTCTGTTTTTGTTCTTATGTACATGTACCTGTGCACTTGTGCAAGGGTTACCAAACAAAACCGTTTGGTTGTACACAGTGCATATACCCCACAAGTACAGCTTGAAATTGAAACTGGGAATTTATGTGTAAGAGGACAGACTAACGGGCAATGCCTGTGTTTCTTTTATTTCTTTGTGGTTAATTTTTTTTTTGGGGCAAAAAAATAATGGAAGGTGGAATGTAAACCTCAAATAGTGACTACCAAAATAATGTCTCATACCCTCCAGCCCCCCCCCCAAAAAAACCCTCAAAATGTGATCTGATAGTTTTTGTCATTTGTCAAATTGCCCCCTCAGGACCGTGATAGATATTCTTTGTTTTCTTTTGGTTTTGCGTTTTCTGTACGTGTACATGTACATGATGGAGCCTGGACAGAGGCCTCAATCTCCAGTAATTCTGAATTCTATTATGATAGGGTGTAAAGTTTTCTGTCAGCAACAATCTTTTATTTGTGCCTTTTACACAAATTATTGTCACCATTTAATTAATATGGCTGCCCTCTTTAAAAAGCATAATGAATAACCTGTATTTATAACTTTGGATCATTTTCACTGGCTAATTGTTTTCCTCAAAACTAAAATTGCATGCTTTTCCAGTTGCAGGGTGAGTCTTTGAAAAAGAGAGAGATTAACACAGTATTAAACCCTGAAAAATTCATTTACTAATTGAAAAGAAAGTGAAACGTGTACATGTACTGAAGTTCTACTAAGTGTTAAAATCAAATTGTAATTCTTCTTTATCAACTTACCTCCGGCATGGAGGAAGATAATGTACAACATGCATGCAAATGCAGGCTTTTTTTTATTCCTTTTACCACGCTCAAGAAATTGCATGATTATTCTTGCATGAATGCAGTTTGTAACTGTAGGCTTTTGTGGGTGATGCATCCCTTGGGTTTTACCTTATTTGAAGTGCCATTTCTTGTTTTGGCTTTACATTATTCCCAAGTTTTAATTTGAGTTATACACAGACAGGTACTCGCTTCATCCCCCTTTCCACTGTCTCATCTATCCACAAGCCCCACCCACCCACACGTATGGGTATCTTCATGTACAGTACAGTTATGTAGAGATAATGTCATTATTTGAATGAGTATATGTGTACGTGTATTTTAACCCTCGTTATTCACCTTTTCAGTCCACAATTATTCTTTATTCGGAAAAAATGTACATGTATCATCGTCTTTTCTGTTCATTTGAATACTAGACAGCTATAACTATTGGTACACAGATCAGTAAGTCATGCCTTATTTCAGACTTATTCTGATCTTAAAGGACAAAGGTGCAAACTTGTGTTTTTCAGCTCATCATGAATTTTTAATGAGTCGGATTGCAGGGTAGGTCACCATGAAGATATTGTCTTACAGTTTCAATTATGACCCTAATGCCCACGTGCGGCTGACGTTAGACCCTTTGAGATAGGAATCAATTTTTAATGTGTTTGAGCAACAGAAAAAAAATTACACCGAGCATGTACACTGTACATGTATATGCGCCTATAGGTGGGCTACAGGTAACACGTAGTTAGTCCTAGGGTTTCACACGTCCTAATTGAGGCCCGCGAGAGTGAACTTTGAGGGGGCGTCTTCTATAGACAGGCCCAAAGCAATGATGGAAACAATCCAATCATGGGTTCTCCTTCCCGGGGGATTTGCTTTCAATAAAGTGACCAGACAGGTGTTTTTTATTCACCAACGAAAGTGTAAGATATGTATAAACATATATAAATCATACCATTTATTTTGTTGGCAGCTTTTACATTGTAGCTTTAAACAATCAACAGTGTATTTGCAGTTTGAAAGTACATGTCTGGCTATAGGTATGGTTTACACTGTACAGTGACTTTTACCTCATAGATGGAAGCCTCAACATCTTGCAAATCTTTCTGAAATTGAAGTTCTTGGGTAACGGTCACATGGAGCTACTTGGTCGACAGACAAAATTGTTCTTGTATGTTCAACAAAATCTTGGTTGAGAACTGGTAATCCTCTGCATACAGGGTCATGACATTTTGGTTTGAATCTGTGGTGGATAAGGGTAAAAACTAGTGGCTGTTTTTAAAAATTCGTTGATGGTAAAGTGATTCTGTGCATAGGAGCACAAAAAGCCAGAATTGAACAACTGAATAATTTGCCAGTGAACCATTTAGGATTCAGATGGGTTGTCAGATTTTTAAAAGCCTATTGTTCTTTCCATTACATTTAAAGATTCTTGTTTTCGGGTTTTATGTGTGGTCAGTAAAGTAAAAAGGTTTGCAAAATATGGAGGGCCTGACGTTTCGATCTTAGCAGAATGTTTCTCAAAGGCAAAATGAGAAAAAGTGAAAAAGTAAAAAAGGTAAAAAAGGTTTACAGATGCCATGGTTACATTTTAACACTTCTCAAATGTTATCAAAAAGAAATTTTATATTCATATGGGGTTTTTGAACAAACGGATTCTCTGCATGCATGATACGTGATGGTTAAGTTAAAGTGCTCTCCGTTTTCCATTCCGTCCTTCTAGCATTATTTCCAGTGGTCACTCCAAAGATGAAGCATCTTGCCAAAATCAATGAGTCAAGCAAGAAGGTAAAGAGAAAACAGCTTCAATCATAGAAAGAAGTCTTGAAGTCAAATTTTCTGCAAATTTGGAATGAATTTTAGTTGGAACGTGGCAAGTAGAGTGGAATTTATGCCTGAGTCAATTTGTTGAGTACTTTAGGAATACATGTACCTTGCTTTGCTGTCAGATATAATGATGGTTGAGTGTGGATGAAGCTTCTTAAAGTTTTTAAGACTATATTGTGTAGTCTACAGACGTACCGTACACTATGGTCTGCTGCAGTGTTGCCATTGTGGGCACCATGCTGAAGTCCCACAAATGAAATTCTATCTTGCCTGCATTTGTCCTCATGAGGGTTTTTTTTTTTTCAAAAATATGGTGTGAAAGAAATGACGCCTACTGTTTTCATTTTCCTTTTCAGATTGCCAAAGACAAAGGAGACACCAAACCAAAATTGGTTGAGGTAAGAACATTCTTTACGTGTATTGCTTACGGAAGGCATAAACAGCCATAAGCATTTGCAGTTTTGAATTCCAATTAAATGCAGCTTTGCAATGCCCCCCTTTGGAACCCGTCCCTTCTCCCCCCAAAAAAGAGCCTGGGTACACCACCGCTAAGAGGCCAGAAGTGTATTAAAACTGACACACTGCTTCCAAAAAAAAGGCGAACATATCACATTTCCATCTAGACGTGGCATTTTCTTTCATTTCTTTTAAATTCTGGGCACGTGTATCGGCGGTGTACAAGTGGTATTATATGACCATCCCCTACAGGCTGTCTTGTTGCAACAAATTGCAGTGTTACCTACATGTACCTCTGGCCTACAGACAAAGTAATTTCCTGTCAAACTCTTCCGGAACAATTACAAGTGCTGCAGTTTAATTACTTCTGGTACCTGTATAAACAATCAGGTAATCTATTGAGTGCGGATGGCTTTCAAGGATTGTCCAAAATAAATTAAGGTGTAGCCAGTTTATGCGCTCTTCAGATCGGTAAAGAGCTTTTTCATTTTCCTTTTGAAAAAAAAACATGGATCCTCCCGCCCTTTGCCCCTTGCAGCTTCATCAGTACATGGGCTATGACCCCAACCAGCTGACGCCCCTGCCAGACTTGGAGACACTCACCATCATAAAGAGGGTGACAGAAGCCCAGACAGACCTACCGTGCAAACCCCAGTACAGGCAGGAGTTCAAGAGGCTCTTTTTCTCCAAGATGTCGGAGGCTGTGTTAGTTGTAAGCTGTCGTTATTCCGTTGTCCCCTGGGTTCTTCCAGTGTTGCAGAGCCTGCATCCAGAGTGCAGATTTCTGTGGATCTGTTTTGATCATCTCAGTATAGGGTCAATGATTGTGTGTTGACTTGACTTTCATTGAAAAAAACAAATTCACCTTGCATGTACATCTTGCAAGCATTAGCTCACAGCACCCACGTATGCACCCTTATGCAGACACATGTATGTGTGTACATTTACTGTACATATTGTTCTTGCAGGGCTGTTGATATGAACAGGCAAGAATCAAGTGCTGTGAAATATGAAAATCTAATTACCTACCTTACTTCCCTCATGCGTTTAAATGCATTGTAGGTCCTTAATGTTGTTAAACACAGTCGTAATGGTGTTGTTGGTTCCAAGGACATGCCCCCTCGGTTGACTAGATAGGCTTTGGCGACATGCAGAGTTCATTAGTGTGCACTGAGTACCCATGGGACTGGTATTTTATCTTGCGCCAGATGTGCAAGTGCATGCACGCAGTTGTGTGTCACCCCAAGAATACACTGCTTGGTTCACCCACAGAGCCCACTCTTAGGCTATTTCCAAATCACTTGGCGACGGCGTAAAATTACACAAGAGTCTTTGCATAACCACCGCAGCTACTTGCCGTAGAGTCATGTGTATTGCAAGCCACAGCCGGTTAGTTCGGACACAGCCTTATTGTCTATATTTTAGAATTGTTGGCTTCATCCATCCAGGATACGTTCTGGTGGTTCTTCCTCTATCGTTACCATCCGAGTAAGAAGACTCAAGAGCGACTCTTCAACCGTGTGGCTCACAACTTCGTCAAGCTGTTGCTGTTTGCAAAGCACCCCAAGTACAGGGACGTCTTCTTCCAAGTAAGTCATTCTGTGGTCAAAATATATCCGTCGTAACCTCCATGCTACAGATCGTCAACATTTTATATTTGACTCAGCAGTGCCACACACCATTGGTGGTCAAAGGATGTCAGTTACATCATATGTTCTCTTATAATCACCGGCACGGTGTGGCAAGCTCGAATGGGTGACAATCATGACAAAATTGACGGCCGTTCAATGACAGTGCCTCAACTTGGAAGAGAATAATCAAATTTGTGATTCAGTTGGGTGACTTGAAAGCAATCAGAGCAAATTTTTGGTGACAGTGTAACAGTGGTGGTGGAGATGGCGCAGACACGGCAGCGTGGTGTTGGGTGGTGGCGGTAGTAGTAATGATGATGATGATGTGTGGTTCAACTATTTAAAAAGAAAAAATACCTAACTATTGTATCCACATGCAATCCTATATCCAGGCCTACACCAGTACAACTTTTCAAACCTGAATCTGTTGCTGTGAACTATCTCAAACAATATTTAAATAGCAAGCTTGTCACAAGGGAGCGGATAAATATAGCTACAAACACATGTACGTGCATAGCGCCCTCATTAGTAAAAGAGGCAAAAGTCCTAATCACATGGAAAAACCTTCATGACACTCTCTTAAATTTATAATCTATATCCACTTCAAACGTAATCAACAAAGTCTATGCGCCCCGAGCTGAAGTGCGCCCCCAATCGACGAAAAAAATACAGCTGGTTACAAGCGAGTTTTTGAATGCATTCTGCGTGCACGCAAAGTCCATACAAGCCGGAATACATTGGTTAGGCATATTCAGCATGCTCTGCGACAAACGTGCATATACTTGTGCGCCTCATGGCACATCTATGCGGTGAGTACCCAAAAGAGCACGCCCTCTTTGTTCCGCTCGGAGCAGAGCGAATCTAAAAACTAAAGATTAGCACTCACTTTGCAGAGCTGGCAAGGTTTTAACAAAAATTAATGGCAAAACAATAATGATTTCATTCCTGAGTGTAAAATGGCGGTACTGAATTAGGTGAGCACTAAAGCAGGGCCCTCTGGGGACAAATAATTGCAACACGCAAGTCGCTGCTCATACAAAGAAAGCAGAATGATTTTCTCGCCGCCACATGTGTGATTCACCATACTGTTGTGGAGAAGTTGTAGTGTGAGGTTTCTTGAGCTAGGGAGAATTTTGTGCAAATATGGACATGTGATTTTGGAATCACTATCTCCAAGGTGGCCTGTGGTGGCAAAATTTTTCACAAGAATATGCTTCACTTGAAAGATTCAATCTTCAGCCAAGTATTTTTTATCAATTATATATAACAGGTTTTGCCCTTACCCAACGTATATATATTAATAAGCACTGCATGCTCAGTGCTTGTCCGAGAGCTTGCGAAAAAAACCT